ACATTTGTACATGAATCTGCATGATAAAGCTATTTGAACACACTCTTGTTCAAAGAAAACCATTTCCTTATTTGACAGATCAATGTTTCTTTTCCATCAAGAGGATATCTGTTGTCAATGGTGATGACTCAATATATCTTTTTAAGTACAGTAAAACCTGTCTTAAATATCACCTCTACCTAACAGCTACCTGTCTGTAATGGCTATTCGTTTTGATCCTTGTCTCAAACAATCTTGATTCACTTTATAAAGGCTACCTGTCTGTAATGACTATTTGTTTGATCCTAGTCTCATACAATCTTGATTCACTATATAAAGGCTACCTGTTTGTATAGACTTCTTGTTCTGATCCTGGTCTCAAACAACCTTGATTCACTTTATAAAGGCTACCTGTCTGTAATGGCTATTTGTTTGATCCTGGTCTCATACAATCTTGATTCACTTTATAAAGGCTACCTGTCTGTAATGGCTATTTGTTTGATCCTGGTCTCAAACAATCTTGATTCCCTTTATAAAGGCTACCTGTCTGTAATGGCTATTTGTTTGATCCTGGTCTCAAACAATCTTGATTCCTTTTATAAAGGCTACCTGTCTGTAATGGCTATTTGTTTGATCCTGGTCTCATACAACCTTGATTCCTTTTTCAAAGGCTACCTGTCTTGCTCCATTAACTGATCTTTATAGACAGGTTTAACTGTGAACTATAAACATGGTATACACAGGTTTTAATAGGTTAAGCTAATGTTCTCTGTCATTGCGACTTTTATCACTGTATATGTATGTTAACAGAGAAAAAATACTTTACATGGAGAACTCATTATGTTACAAAAATATGTAAAAATGTATAAATTAATTCAATCACCAGAAGAACAAAAGAAGAGTAAATTAGATTAACAGATTGTTATCAGCCATATACAATTTTTAGTGTGGGTTGGACTCTTACTAATCCTCTCATATACATCAATATGAACCAAAGGGTTGTAGTTGTAAAATCTGACCAAAACCATTCAGCAGAAAAATAAATAATGTATACAGTATCAAATCAATTAATGGAGTATGAGGTAAGTATATCATAGGTTTTAGTATTTAGAGGTTGAAGAGAAAAGACTTCAAGGAACAATGAACAACTGGTAATTGTCATCTCAATATATTGGAATTTCTTAAGAATTACGACAGAGGAGGTCGGATGAATAATTTACAGAAAAAAAAATGACGAACATTTGTTTCAATGTTTGTAAGTTTCCACAGCTATGGTACATATTGTGTATATTTGATGAACAAATGTTTTGACTTTGACTTAACTATACTGTATCTACAGAATATTGTATTGTTAAGAAATAACAAAAAAACTGAAGTTTGACAGAGTTCCAAGTTTGGTAATTCCTTCAAAAATATATTCTAGCCTTTAACCTTGATGTCAAGGTAACAGTGACCAACTACAAATTGAGTTCAGCTGATTGAAAAGTTTAAATGTTATAGGCAAGACAAAAATTTGTTAACAATATTCACATCTATATGACCATGATGTCAAGGTCACAGTGACCTATTTGACCATGATGTCAAGGTCACAGTGTCCTAATGTCAGTGCATTACACATCAGCTTCAGGTAAAAATGGTGTACAGCAACTTTCTTTGAGATATCTTTAATGGTTTGAAAGTTAATGCTAAGACAAGATATTGTTAGAAGACCCAGGAGGTCCAGAACTAAAAGAAAAGGTCTCTTAGGAGACATGATTAAATATATGCATTCTATGGTCACATACAACATTGGTGTTTTTGTAGGTTGAACTTTTCATAGAAAGAGAATTCTAGAATATCTTATTTAGTGCCTTGACATCAAAATGTACTATTTTACATGAGAGTATGGTGAACAGTATATATAATCTTATATCAGCCGACAAAAAGTCAGGGATACATTATAAACAGACTGGCCGACAATGTCCTTCACATTCGAAAAAATAGACAAAAAATGATAAAATCAGACTAATGGTTGAAGACTACAAAATTTTGTTTCATTAACAAATGATGTAACATTATTTTGTGTACAATCACATAAGTATATAGTTATTTTGTGACTTAAATCCTTATCAGCAGCTTTTGTGGTTCAGATCTGTGTATCTATTACCTGACATCAAAGCATGCACCTTTATTTTTGTTAGAGAAATTTAAATACATTTTCACTTGCAGAATTAAATTAACCATAATTATGAAAATTTTCATAGAACTCTGATGACATTTTAGCATATTGTGTTATATAAGTGTCAATATTGTGATTTCTAAATTGAGATAGAAACTAAAGCAGTTGATATTATTATGGAGATGAGATATGAAATAAAATTATGATTTTTGGATTAATTAAAGAAAACATTACCAGACATATAACTTTGTTAACATCTCCATTAAATGATAACTTCTACATTTGTTTAATATATATCTTTGTATGAAAAGTAATGAAAGACCCTGTTTACTGATACAGATAGAACCTGACTGAGTAAAACTTTGACAAAATGTTCAAATCATAAATGATGGAGGATTGTTACATTAGTTTATAGTGTAATGTTTAAGCCAATAGCTACTAAACATTATCACCAAGTAATAAATCTCACCAGTATCAAATCAAGGAATCATTCCTTCTGTTGATCCCTGTAGGGCTTTTCACATTATTATACAAAATGATTACACGTAAAAGTATATAATAATTATCTACATATATCTAAGCAATATAAGTCACCATAAGAAATGTGAAAGTGTATACAAAAGCTGCCTAGAAACCTTACAAAAACCATCTAGAATATTTACATAATTCATTAAATCATATAAAGTACAAATAAACATTTATATATAAAAAGACATTTGAAAAAAAAAGTTTTTCCTTTGGTTGTATGATCATATGCAATATCCCTATTGGCCAATAGTATTTTCTGATTCTCAGTTAATTCAGTTTGAACATTAGAAAAAAGGTCATTTACATAGTCATTACAATTTCTGTATCCATCAGCTATCATTAACATGATAATTTATCCAAACAATTTACGTTAAGTGTAAAAGCAAATTTTAAAATCATTTGTTTGGTAGTTTTATCACCCCATAAACAGCCAGGGTCATTTTGAGGCAGCCTCTTTGTAGTAGCTGGTGGCTACCTCACTGAACAACACACAGGAGGCCCGTCACAAGTGATCTAGAGCAATTAAGTTAAGTGTCCTGACCAAGGACACAACCATATCAGCACAGAGTTGTTTGTCTCTTTCTCAGCTTCCTGAAACTGCCAAGGATAGGAAGTGCTAAACGTTGCACTTAAGATCTTCACCTGAGGTCATATATAATCTAACTTACTTAACTATTGTGGCCCCTTTATAAAAGTATCGTTCGGGTGAAATAGATCTATCATAACTTAGTCCGAATTCTAAAAAAAGCAACAGAGCTTAATGTTAAGCATAAATGAAGGGAAAATATTGTATGTCATGCTACGTCGTGGATACAATCTTGTCATGTATCTGAGTGATCAGAGTTTGATTCCTCCATCAGACTGACAAGGCATGATACGTCGTGGATACAATCTTGTCATGTATCTGAGTGATCAGAGTTTGTATCCTCCATTAGACTGACAAGGCATGATACGTCGAGGATACAATCTTGTCATGTATCTGAGTGATCAGAGTTTGTTTCCTCCATTACACAGACAAGGTATGGGGGCACCTGTTTTGCCACCAGAGTTACTTTTTGGTACTCTGGTATACTCCCACATGGTGATACTACACACGGTGATAATACACTTGGTGATACTACACATGGTGATAATTATAATAAACTATAAAACAGCAGTGTACTAACGATTCTATTCCTACTTAATTAATTTAATACAGTCTGAGATATTTAGAGGTGGTCACTGCCCATCTGATTAAATATTGGCAAACTTCCAAATTTCCCAAAGAAAAAGGCATTGCTCTCCAATATCTATTAAAGTTTTGCCAACCATGATGGATGATCGAGTGTCCATCTTGACCAAGAGATTACTTCCTAAATAACTTACTCATCACAAGCTTTACTTACTACAGTGATGATATGTATTGAAAGCCAGGCTACATCAGCAAAACGAAAATTATGCCAAATTTTTATTCACTTTTATCGTAAATACTAATTACCAACCATGACAGCAAGTTTATTCGTTTAAGTATAAATCTGCAGAGTACAAGGTAATGGGGACTATTACATCATGTAAAACTGATAATGTTTTCTTTCTTCATGGCAGATTCCATCACATTTTTTGGCCATGTCTATTACATCATATGTGCTTTTGTTTTGGCCATGTCTGTACATCATATGTGCTTTTTTTGGCCATGTCTGTTACATCTTATGTGCTTTTTTTGGCCATGTCTGTTACATCATATGTGCTTTTTTTGGCCATGACTGTACATCATATGTGCTTTTGTTTTGGCCATATCTGTTACATCATATGTGCTTTTTTTGGCCATATCTGTTACATCATATGTGCTTTTTTTTGCCATATCTGTTACATCATATGTGCTTTTTTTGGCCATGTCTGTTACATCATATGAGCTTTTTTTTGCCATGTCTGTTACATCATATGTGCTTTTTTTGGCCATGTCTGTTACATCATATGAGCTTTTTTTTGCCATGTCTGTTACATCATATGAGCTTTTTTTTGCCATGTCTGTTACATCATATGAGCTTTTTTTTGCCATGTCTGTTACATCATATGTGCTTTTTTTGGCCATATCTGTTACATCATATGTGCTTTTTTTGGCCATATCTGTTACTTCATATGAGCTTTTTTTGGCCATATCTGTTACTTCATATGAGCTTTTTTTTGCCATGTCTGTTACATCATATGTGCTATGTCCAAAGCATTACGGGATTTGAATGCTAAACAAAACTGCCTAATATAAATGTTACTTTGTATCTAGTCAGTCTGACATGTTTGATCACATAAGGATTTCCTTCATTTGTTATGTAATAACCATTTTTCAGAAGTCGACAGAAAATAGAATTCAATAAGGGATACAGATAAATGAAAATTTGTACTTTGTTCAGTTAAAAAAAGGGTTATTCCCTTTAGCAGTGACCACCATTTAGAGTAAATTGATTATATGATGACAAAGAATTAGAGATTTGTGCCATTTTGTTAATTTGATGATGACATATACAGATATCAGATCCAAATGTAATCTATGTCAGGAATCCAGGTCCTCTGTGTGTGAATTTGACTCTGTTATACTTCTTACTAACACACTCAGTTCCTGTGCCAACTTGGCCTTTTCTACCTTTTTCTGAAACTTATTACCTGAAATTATAGAAAAAGAGATAAATATTGAACCCATGCATACCATTCATTTTATATGTATAAACCTGTACATGTATTTTTCTGTGTATTTACCTGTATCGAAGCTATGAGTATTTACCTTTACTTCAACTCTGAGTTTTAGTATGTGTACACTATCATTCTATCTCTGTGTGTATACCTGTACTTATATTCTATCTCTGTGTGTATACCTGTACATATATTCTATCTCTGTGTGTATACCTGTACATATATTCTATCTCTGTGTGTATACCTGTATATATATTCTATCTCTGTGTGTATACCTGTAGATATATTCTATCTCTGTGTGTAAACCTGTACATATATTCTATCTCTGTGTGTATACCTGTATATACATTCTATCTCTGTGTGTATACCTGTACATATATTCTATCTCTGTGTGTATACCTGTATATATATTCTATATCTGTGTGTATACCTGTATATATATTATATCTCTGTGTGTATACCTGTATATATATTATATCTCTGTGTGTATACCTGTATATATATTCTATCTCTGTGTGTATACCTGTATATATTCTATCTCTGTGTGTATACCTGTACATATATTCTATCTCTGTGTGTATACCTGTATATATATTCTATCTCTGTGTGTATACCTGTATATATTCTATCTCTGTGTGTATACCTGTACATATATTCTATCTCTGTGTGTATACCTGTATATATATTATATCTCTGTGTGTATACCTTTATATATATTCTATCTCTGTGTGTATACCTGTATATATTCTATCTCTGTGTATACCTGTATATATTTTCATGTTGTGATAGAAACACCACTCACCATCCCAATTCCATGAATCAAGAACACTACACATTCCATTTTTGGTTTCTGACTCCTGCATGGCCTTGGTTACCAAGTTGTTCAATACACTTTCATCATCATCCACTGCAGAAAAATAAGACATATAGTAATAAAGTATGCTGTTTTACACCCATTCTACAACCCACTTTTCCAATACCAGCAGACTTTCAGATGTTACATATTGATTTAAAACAACTTGTCCACGGAGCATGTACATGTTTGTTGATCATATTCCAGTGTAATGTCTCCATAGCAACTAATAAGGGGCAATTTTTGTAATGATACCTTATACATAGGGTTATGTGATTCTGATCTGTAGGACATTAATCAAGTATTCACCCAAGAGACAGCCTTGCAAACAGATTTTCAAATGTGAAGAATAAACTTGATTTTTTTTTTTTTTTCTGATTTCATTTTCATTATTTTTCATAGCTTTCCCAAACAGTATCCTTAACAAAATTTACTTGAAGAAGATTTTTAAAAGGTTTCTACCTGAAGGAGATGATGGAGTTTGCTTAGCTAACTGTACACTGTGATCAGCATTTCCAGGTGATTAACTAGTCACAAGATTTATGTTTGACCTTTTTATGTGTTACTTTGACTTACTACTTGTATGTTTCAATGTTACTGATAATTTGTAAATTATTATCATTATCAATGTTCTGTTAGTTTTTTTATTGTGTCATCAAAATCACATATCTGTCCAGTTAGTGCTTCCCATAGTTAGTACAATTCATTATCCCACTGCAAATTACAAGTACATGGAATCAGAAAGCACAGTTTTACCTTTAGGGGGAAGAATGCAATAGGCTATGATGTCCCTCAGTGCTCTGACCTTGAGGTTGTCAGTCTTGACCTTTTGAGGTGAGGGTTCAAGACTTTCCTTGTCTTCATCAATACTGCTTTGTCTACAACATGTAAAAGGAGTTCAACTAACATAACTACATCTGGTACTGAGTGGAGGAAAGTTGTATCAATCATCTTTAGCAGTAATAGAAGTCTTGTGTATCCCTGACCTTGGCCACATAAACATCTGTTTGGTACTTCGTCTGGACAATTACAATATTTACATCAAAAACGCCTCCAGTTTAGATGTAACATTACAGAATTTTTACTTTTGATTTAATTTGTTGGTACAAACCTTTATCATGTGATGCTCGGTGGCACAGAATTGATTGTCGAAATAGTAAAACATTGATGGTTGAAATAGTAAAACATTGATGGTTGAAATAGTAAAACATTGATGGTTGAAATAGTAAAACATTGATGGTTGAAATAATAAATCATTGATAACCATTTTACAACATGAACTCACCGTAATTTCCGTTTACGAAATATCGGGTTTTCTGTGTCTGTTAGAGGTTTGAGTGTGACATTGTTGTCTGGTATTCTCATACTTGTCAGGTGTTGTGAATGTGCTAGCTTAATATCCTCCATTCCAATCTATTCAACAATAGACCATCTGGCATGTTTTTACCATATCTCAAGTATCATTTCTCAAACAAGAAGTAAAGATTAAATGTTTAATTGACTTGCATCACTTTAGTCACCTTAATACAGTTATATAAGAGATTGAATCTGAAAGGGAGTCAGTACACTGTCACCCTTTGATTTTCTAACCATTTGTAACAATAACTCTTAAAATCTATGATTACTACAGATACATAATTTTGTATCATCTCTTAATAATTCTAAATCAAAAGCAAAAGTTTCACCCCTTTTGGGCATGATTTCTTGTCATAGGTAGTGGAGCTGGAGTGGAGGTGGAGATTCATATTCTCTCCATGTAAAATCTGATTCTACATCTTTGTTTGGAAAAAATATATTGTTAAATTATTCATAAAAGAGAGCTTTAAGCATTCTTCACCTTATCCATGAACACAGCAGGTGACTGTAGTTTGGTATCTGGTGCTTCATTTAACCATGGATGACTAAGCAATTCCTGGATGTTCATTCTCACTGATGGATCTACATGTAGTAAACTGTTAACAGAAAACACCATTTCTATATATACATCAGAGCAGAAAATCTACAAAAAAAAATAATTTTCATACCAAGAATATCCAGAGATCCATGCATGTAGTCGAAACAAGCAGAATTTAATCTGCAAATATGTATCTCACAGTTAATGAAACAATAGAGTTGATGTAAATATCTTTTTTACCTTTTAACAACATCTTTAGCAGAATCTGAAATATACTGCCAGTCATCTTCAGGGAACTCATACTGCCCTGATAGAATCTTCCTCCTCATGGCAGATGTGATCTGTCTGGTGGGTGTCTCGGAGTAAAATGGAGGGTAGCCACACAACATGATGTATAAAATGACACCCATGCTCCACATGTCACAGCTCTGGAAACAAAGTTTTCCTGTTATGTTGTATATAAGAGATACAAGTGGGATCATGACACCTACCGTTGTTTCATTATAAATTTCTTTGTTCTTAAAAGCTGGGTCTTTTCCCTTCTTTTCTCTGTTTTCACTCTTACTACTTGATATTTAAAAACTCACTTTGAAAAATAGCAATAACAATCTTTCATAGTTAAAATTCAAGATGGCCATCTGACAGCTATTTGGTCTTTCTTATCAGTCCCAAAATCAACAAGCACATCTTGAGACCAAGGGCAACCTACATAGGTAATTTGCTAAAGATCTATCTAGTACATAAGCAGAATGCTGGTAAGAAACTTTTATAGTCAAAATCTAAGATGGCCACATGTCAGCCATTATGTTTTTCTGATAAGTCGAAAAAAATCTAACAGGCACAACAATGGAAATAGGGAGAAGCTACATATGAAGTATGATAAAGATTCACATGACACACAATGGATTAATCAAATACAGAATGCCTTGGAAGGAGTCAAACTATAACCGGTGTAATTACTTACCTTATCATAGGTGTATGGTTTGAAGGTGTTATTATTTACCTTATCACAGGTGTATGGTTTGAAGGTGTGATTACTTACCTTATCACAGGTATATGGTTTTGAGGTGTGGATAACCTACCTTATCATATGTATATGGTTTTGAGGTAGGTATGATTCCCCTCTTCTGTTTTGATTGATATTTATGTGCTTCTAAAACCTAAAATAAAAACAAAATTATTATATATATATTGTCTTTATATATCAATTGACCTATTAAATGTTTAAATTTAATATCAAATTTTTGTTTTTGTTTTTACTTTTTAAATCATTTTAACATATATCATACATATAGTAAGAGCATAGACAATAATATACACTGCATTCTCACTATGATACACAAACACACACACACACACACACACACACACACACACACACACACACACACACACACACACACACACACATACATACATACATATACACAAAGTTATCAACATCCTTATTGAAGCAAGTTTAATTCTTTTTAATTTTGTTTACACCCATACTACTCACACAGACAAATTTGCATAAAGAAAAAATAAAGTAAAGAAAGAAAGAATGTGATTGAAAGAGGTGTGAAGTTGATTTCTATATCGGTTAGTTTTCCACCAAGGTTTACTTTATAAATGTTTTTTACATACAGAAGTGAGAGGTAAAAAACAAATGCAGAAAGTAATATAAAGTTGTTAATAGAATCTCACTGTACCAGTAGTACTTTGCAATCAAGATCTCACTATATCTAGATTACAAAGTACTTTTCAACTTCAACATATTTTAATGCTCAAAAGTGGCAAAGGGATAGGGCATCAGGCATTGCCTATTTAAGCCTTCTCCCAGAGTACAAAGTACTACTGGGATAAATTCTGTTATGAGAGTTCGAAAAAACAATAGACATAGTTTCTGATATAAATAAATAAATGTTGTACCTGAGGAGCTACATAGTATGGAGTAAAATGAGGTGTTTGTAGATTTCCATCATCAATTTTAGCAAATCCAAAATCTGTGAGCTTCACCAAAGCATCCTGTCAAAAAAATATGTTTATTGTTGTGAATTCATTATTCTTTTTTCTTCTAAAATCTTGCCCAGTCAGATAAATACTGCACTAAGTCTGATACTTAATTCAGACTAATTACATATGTAGTTATCTCCCTTTTCTCAACATTAATTTCATTGTCTGGCTCAAATTATAAAAAGAAAAATTGTATGAAGGCACCTGTTTTGAGAGCTAAAGATTTAACACATAAATTGGGTCTTGTAACTTAATATATTCTTCGTTGTGGTACTTTGTTCACAATCTGTCACGCAAAATGGGCAATATATTTCATGTAATTTGCATACAAATAACAATTTTTGTACTACTTGGATGACTACAATTTTTCTTACCTCTGTATTGTCTCTCAACAGTAGATTCTCTGGTTTCAAATCCCTATGGGCAATATTTAGGGTGTGACACCTTAGAACTGCATTTGCAATCTGTGTCAAAACCAATGATATGAATTTCAAAAAACATCAAAGTAAAAATGTTATAGAGGTTCTGTGGAACATGCTCAGAATTAGCTCACTTGAAACGCAATAAAAGCCTCAAAGCTGTTTTCATTTATATTTCAACAAATATGAAACGAGAGTGACATGGTGTGACACAACATACACTCATTCTCTTCCAATATAATATCACTGATTGATTGTATGAAAATGAATAAAAAAAATTAAAAATGGTAATCATGAGTCAAAATGTCAAGACAGAAAACAAGTTTCAAAGACATTGATTTCGAACTAAAGGCAATATCTAGACAAGATAAAAAAAAATATAGGTAAAAAATCAAAGGGCAACAACTCCTTCAAAAATTGTGGAAACTAACTGCTGTGTAAGAAAACACACTTTCATGTCATAACTATAAAACCTACAAAGTTTGACAGAAACTGGTCAAAGACCAAGAGAAAAAACCTTTGGATAAGATTAAAATTATGAAAAAAGGGCAGTAACTCTTCAAAATTCAGCTGAATCAATCTGCTGTTTAAGAAACACAACTTTATATCATGGCAGTTTAGCCTACCAAGTTTCAGAGAAATCAGTTGAAAACTGAGAGAGAAGATATGCGGACAAGATTAACATTTTGAAAAAAAGATGCTATAAAAAGATTACTTAAAAACTGAGAAAAATGATCTCCTGACAATATTCACATTATGAAAACAACAAGGGGCAGTAATTCTACCAAATACAGTTGAATCAAATCACCCTCCAAGAAGACAAAAATTATTGCCATGGTGATCAAACCTTAAAAGTTTAAAAGATCAGTTAACAACGAAGAAAGATCTCAGAAAAACATTCACATTATAAAAACAACAAGGGGCAATAACTGCTCCAAATACAACTGAATATAACAATCATTTGGGAAAGCACATATTCCTGTCATGTTCATTATTCGTACTAAGTTTGAAAAAAAAATTGTTGAAAACTGTGGGAGAAGAAATCCAGATAGAAGAAGGTTTATGATGAATGTACGGACGGACACAACATACCAAAATTTTTTATAGGCATTTAAAAAGACTACATACTTGAAATTGAGATAACAGTCGGGAAAAATTAATTATATTTGATAAACAATGTAACTGCGAAAGAGGTATGATGTGATTTGGCCAAAATTTGATTATAGCTATGATTTAAATAGATATGCTTTTTTAATCAACAATAAATATTAAAAGTCCAGTGTACCTTTAATTACTTTCAAATCATCAAAACTAGTAATCAAACCTGTCTCAGGTACTTGGCTGCCTTCCTTTCAGTGAATCCACTCTCTTTACTGATTCTGTCAAACAGTTCTCCACCTTGCATGTACTCCAGCACCACAAGAAGTCTGGGTCTAGTGGAGCAAATTGATATAAATAATAAATCATAGTCAGATGGTCAAGGTTTATTATTTAATCTTATGACTAGATTTTGTCAAAATTTTAATACTTACTGAATCTACAATATACATGTTTGGCTTTTGGTATCTAAAGCAAGCCCATTTGTAATAACTATAACAATAATTCATAATACAGTTTTTGCTTTAAAACCAATTACAAATGATTCAACTTCATAAAGCAACCCTCAAATCAAATAGAACCCTCCAGATATAGCCTCACTTGGGTGTCAATAATTCATGTCAGTTGTCTTTGATCAGTCTAGATGGGTATCTTTCTGACTAAGAGTAACAACTCCTACATCACCATTTGTTAACTGTGTGATACATATGATGTAACAGTATTTACATGCTCCTTTTGTAAGACAGAATATTCCTGCTAAATAGGCCATGGACCTTCTCATAGCTATTCTCTGGTATAATATGATATCATTATTTCATACATCTTACTTACAACCAGAAAAGGCAAAAACTTGAAACTTGTTCTTAATTTAGACATAATTATATATCTTCACTTGTATACAATTTGTTGTGAGGGATGTTTATAAAATCAGTGAAGACTTAATTGTACACAAGTTCATCAGAATATTCATAATGGAATTTTTTTCTACGAATAGGTTTTTACCTGGTGAAAAAAGGTAGGTGTTATAAAGATTAGTGAGCTGTCAAATTTACATTTAAAGTGTAACACACATTGAATATTAATCAGATGATTATTTAACCCTGATCTATAATTTACATAATCTCACTAACTGTTACAAAATGGCTGGTACAGCTGTATTTGGCATTTCATAAAGACTTACTTTGCATGTGGTTCCCCTGGAAACTGTATATCATTTGCATAAACATCATACATAGACACAATGTTGTCATGACCACTACACATCTTATGTAGATTCACCTCTGTCCTGGCTTTTGGGATATCTAGTAAACATTTCAGGGCAAACTTCTTGCAACTGCTCCTTTTTGTACATGGCCTGAATTGAAAACATATTCACATTCATAAATTTGGCTTTACTATTTCTTATTCCAATCATGTTTATATGAATTTATATTTATAAACTTAGTTTATCTACAATCCTTGTATTAGAAAATATAGATTTTAATTTCAACTCTCTTTACACTATAGTATAGTATACACTATAGTATATAACATTACCAGCTTTAGTAATGATACTTGAAAGCTAATATTTAGCATAAATGATACATTGGCCTTAGAGCAAAGATTTTTTTCACATTTAGTAAACCTGAAAAGCAATCCAAAGTAAGCAATTTTTGTAAGAAATCATTGGAAATCAGGGCCTGTGAAACATATTTTTCTATTTATAGTCACAGTGACCTTGACCTTTTACCTTCAAAACTACAAAGCAATCCAAAGCAAACACTTTCAGTAAAGAAGTACTGTATGAAGTATGGGTTAGATTGACCAAAGCAAACACTAGTTTTCACATGGAAACTGATTTTCTATTTATAGCAACAGTGACTTTGACCTTTAACCTTGATGATAAGAAAAGCTACATACCCCAAGCAAGCTCTTCCTTCAAGGAGGCTTGGCATAAAGTATGAGTGCAATTGGCCCAACAGAATTTGACATACTGTACAGAAACCAAAAATGGACAGACAGACATACAAGCTGATTACTATAAGGCACCTACATCTCAAGTCGAGCCCAAATAACCGTAGGAGTATAAAAACTATTGCCCTGTTCAGAATATTATTGAATTAAATACATCTATATAACACTATAAACTGACAATAATTGGCCTGTGAAGTGAGGTGGGATTATTAAAGGAGAACAGACAATGTTGGTAAATCTAGATTTGTTGAGTATCAACAGGAGAAATCAGTGGGCAGAATACCAATCATGGGCCAATTGCCATCTTTTCCCCCTATACCAACAAAAGCTCAAATTGCAATTGAAATATTCATAATAGGGTTTTTAAATTCACTATTGATATAAATCTGTAATTCATTTACATGTGATGACAGTTTATAGCCTAACATATAGCCTAGAAGTTCTTGTTAATATGTTGTTGTATGGAGGTTAGTGTGACAATTTTTTCATCGTTTTGAATCAATTTACAAAAAACTGTGCTACCTTACAGGGCCGCTGATACCTGTACCAAGTTTCTGGTTCCACTGAACAATGTAGTCGTCAATAATTGATGATGTCTGAAACAATTAGATAATAAAAAGTTATTAGATTTTAATGAGTTTAAAAAGCTAACTGGATCTTTCATCTAAACAAGGGCTTCATTATCAAACTTAGTCACATAATACACAAAGAATTTGCATTGGATCCTTCAGTTAACATTTATGACTGAATATTTCTCTGTGTGTGGGTTTTTTTCAAACTCATGTACATATTTAAATGTAAATTTAATCTTTAATTATTCTGCTCCCAGCAGATGGAAATCAGATCAGTGAATAAACTTCAACAATGCTATGCTTTAATCAAAATGCAATATTTAGAAAAGATTGCAGAATGAAAGTTAAACTGCAACCATATACAGTCACACATGACCTTCATGTGATGCCCATCAGTTATACACCCAATAACTGTTTTCTATATAATATGCATAAAGCTGCAGTATTAATTGCTGTATTAATATCTAATGCTGTCTTTCAAACTAAGGAAAATTATGAAGGTAACTAATGGTATAATTCACTTTATACAACATGGTATCAAGACAATTACTGTCAACATGAAATGAATTATATAATATGTATAAGCATGGATTATTTCAAATGTTTACTAACAACAAACAATTTTTTGAAAAATTAATCAGTGAATAGTATAAGTTTGCCTTAGCCTTACAATGTACTTACTAAAGCAAAAAATAATAATTTAAGAAAAAATCTCACAACAGATTATATGACCATGAAGACTAGACTATTAACTGTCTATTAACTCTTTTATTAACCTGTACATTTATAACTGTGGCGTATTGCATTGAAATAGCAAAATATAGATATTGAAATTTGAACTGGATGGCAAATACTGGTATTAAATAGTTGTTGCAATGAATCATTTCACCCCTAAATGACAGAGAGAAGAACAATTTTGCAAAAATTACATGTGGATCAACTAAATAAAAAAAGGACATACATTCATGGCCTCCCTCTCTCTCTCTCTCTCCCTATGATTCATGATATCTTTGCATTGCTATAAAACTATATTTGTGATTATTCAATGTTTTGATGTATATCTTAAGAGTAAATGATACCAAACTAAAGTATAATGGGTATGTGATGTATGTATATAACTTTGTAATAATGTCTATACATCTCTGGTACAGTATGATAACAATGAAGGTACATACATGACGTGTAACTAGAATAAATCATTTTAACTACAATGTACTGCATTGGCAACTTCAGATGTCAAACCGCTAAATATAATCTGAAGTGTCAACTCAAATTCAGTCAGTGTAACGGCATAATTATCAATTCGGCAAAGTTATTTAGATGATTTTTGTCTTTGATAAATTTGGTCTCATCGATTAAAATTAGCTCTAAGTAACAACTATGTCTCACAATGTTGCCTGCAATTAAGTCTTAAAACACAAAATTATTTATACAGAAACATTGTTTATTAAATGTTTTAACAGTAGTGCACTGCAGTAAGAATATATTGATCACTTGATGGTGTGTAGATTTAAAACACAAACATACTGAAGCACAACCACATCTAATTTCAATACATGCCTTAATTCTCGGTTCTTCATTATTGGGCCGGTTCAGCAAGTTCTTATCTTCTGACATTTTGTTGACGAGTGATCGATCCGGATGTAACCGTATTGTTTCAAAGGCGTTAGAAGATTCCGAAACTTTCCGAACGTACCGGAACTAAGATGGACGAAACTATATCTCAAAAAAGGGGTTTCATTTAGGGTTTTTTTAATCACAAGTGTTATAATTTCTTATTTTACGCAAATTTTCCTGCAACTTCCTTTCTTTCATTTTTCTAATTTTGTTTTACATATAGAACTGTTGTTTTGCTTTTCACGTTTTGAAAGATTTTGTTTTATTATTATCAACTTGCAAGACGAACGGTTTCCCAACTGAATAGAATCCACCATATCGGCAGACACTATGGACGACGTGTGATACGTCTAATGTTTTGGATTTAAGAAAACGCAGTAAAATGATATCAAAACAGTTTGCATGGATTGGAGGCATAGCAACAGTTGTTGCTACAGGACTCTATGTATTCTTTGGTCCTTCCGAAAAGAAGAAACCAAAAAAGAAGGGTAATATGTTCGCAAATAATGTTTTTGGTCAAGGTCTTTTGGTGTCACGTTTTACGATCGATGAACCAAGTTAAAGATGATGACATGCATAACAAGTGCAGACTGTATAATTTTTGTAAGAATTTTATCATTGAAGTCAACACTGAACTGATGTCAAAATATCTGTTTTTTGTCCTTTATGCACTATATATATGATGCCGTATTAAGTTTATTCCAGGACACGATTCTGACAAACCTCTTCACCGTACTAAAAAAAAATCATACTATGCACAGTACATGATAATAAATATATATATCCAATATGTACAATATAATATTCATTTGTATGTGTTCCATTAAGCTGGGGTTTAATTTCATATTGAAAGTTCTCTTGTGTGATCTAAAACCAGGTCTTGATTTTCCCAAAAATTATTAATTCTATTTTTGAAACAGTTTGTATTTAAGGCTAATATCAAAGATACTTGTAGAGTGTTCCATATGTGTGCTGCCCTCATAGTGAAAGAGTTCCTCATTGGTATTAGAAGTTTCTTGTGAATAAAGCTTTTCAGATTTTCTATTTTCACCTTGCATTGTTTGACTTTGACCATTGTTTTAGAAAAGTACAGCATTCCCTGATATTTTTTTCCACAGATCTTTTCATATGCAGGGTTTTCCATAATTTTGTTAGTAGTAGGCTGTGTAGGGAAAGTAGGAGGCTGGCCTGCCTTGTACGTGTAGTCGTGTACGGAACATTATTACGGAACTGGATTGGTGTAGGCGGCCAAATAATCAAAGTAGCTGGTCAAATTGGCCGGCGACCGGCTCTTATGGAAAACCCTGCATATGCTTTAATCATGTCCCCTTGCATATGCATGTACAGTAATGTAAGTTACTTAAGGTTATTGAGCCATTCTTCATATAATAATTTTTGTAGTCCAGGTATTTATGTGTGAACTCAGCATTGAACATTGGTATAAATTAATTCATGTCAGTAAAATGGAAAGTTCTTATATGTTCTCAGGTTTTTAATTTTGAATCAGGAATTATCTAAGATTGGAATTGTAGGCAGGCCTAGTGACCAGAATCACATGCATAATTATATATGTTGGCAATCTGGGTGCTGTTTATGTATATATGTGGTTACTAGAAAATTATATTACACTACAGTGTTTTGCCATATGTACCATATACTGGTGTTTTCCTACAGCCAGTCTGTAGAGTGTAGCCATTGTATATCTATAAGGAGTCAAGATGAGTATTAGTGATGCCTTATTACCAATACATACATATATATACTTGACAAGATGAGTTTAGCCATACCGTGGTCTGTCTGTTTTTGTACTGAGTGTAGCTTTTAGATAGCTGTGATAATTGATATATCTTTTATTTAACAAGGGTAAGATACAAATAGTGTCTAGTTGATTTACAGCAGAGTATGATTCTGAAGTTACCTTAGGTCAGGTGTCTAACAATACTGTATCACCTATACATCATTTTACTTGATGTAAACCATATCACACACAAAGTCACAAACTGCTTCCATGCATTCTACCAGTGGATGTTTTTGTCTGAGGAAGCTGAGAATTGGACCAGTCTGTGTTAAAGTGGTAGCATCCTTGTATTGAGGCAAGACAGTTTACCCTAGTTGGTTTGAATTGCATGCGACTGGTCCCTATATGTTGTTTAGTGAGGTAGCCACCAGCTACTACAAGGAAACCTGACCTCATATTGGTCCTGGCTGTTCATGGGAGGATAAACCCAGCAAAACAAACATTGAATTTTAACATTTCCCTGTTTTCATTTGTGTTGTAATCTGATTAATTCTTAGACTTATGTACAAATTTAGGTATTGCCTTTCGAGTATAATGTAGTAAATTTTTTTTTTAATTTTTCAGATCTGTGTCCAGGCTTGGATAATCTTGGCAATACTTGTTTCTTGAATGCTATATTGCAAGCATTTGCATCCTGCCCAACTGTTGGGAAATGGCTAAAAGACTTTTTTCTTAAGGTCCCCGACACAAGCAATCAATATCTAGCATCAACAATATCTAATACAATAAGTGGTGAGTGAGTGGATGTATTTCCACAATGTTGAATTAGTGCTGTTATGTTTAATCAGACATTATACAGTGATTCCCTTAAATATTTTATTAGGACTAGATTCAGCCTGCTTATATATTATAGTTTTCTCTTGTTGCACAAACTTCTACCAAATTCTTCATAAAGGTATCACTGGTACATGTAATGGTAATGTTTTAGTCAATTGACCATGGCCAGTCGTAGAAAAATTTGATGAACGGTCATAATTATGTCATATTGAATTTGCAATTGTCATGACTAGATTAATAAGAATAAAGAACTGTTTGTTTGGTCTGTCAAGGTGCGAGTGAAATAATTTGTTTCCATTATCAATTTCTTGATTGATAAAAGTTAGATGTTTTTGACTTAGTCCTCTACTGTAAATACTGTTGATTGCTTGTTCTTTTTTTTATCACCGATTTTGTTTGGAAGCATAACATAACTTTTTGTTATTCCAGTCCTCAACTATGACACTGAAGTTGATGAAGATTATCACTGCCCAGCTGATGTGATTAATGCACTCCGAGGTAGGGGATGGATTATCTCCCCTGATGAACAGGTCAGTGTATAACCAGAATCGGCTGTTCTGTTTAGACATGGAGTATGCAATGTAACAACACTCAAAAGTTTGTTTTGATACCTAACATATACTTCATGGTTTATTGTGCAGATGACTTTACAAATGTACAAATATGTTTTTGATTTTTATATGTCTTGTACTCTTGATGAAGTTTGTTTGATACAAGTCACATGTAAATTTAATGTGTTAAAAATCGGCAATATATACAATGAAGCACAAACTTCAGTATATATGAATGTATTTGAAATGCATGCATACTTAACTTCCATTTAAAGGAAATAAATAGTCAGATTTTCATTTCACAACTGAAAAAAACCCATTGTAACATTAAAATGTCTTTTAAAAGTTGTACGCTTTCTGTTAATTATAAATATTTAAAAGTTTGCAAAACCATTTTGTTAATAATGTCAAATAAGGAAAGTAAAATAAGAGCAACCCCACACTAATTCATATCAATGTCGTCAGAAAGTATTAACAATGTGTTTATGCACAATTTAGAAATCATAGTGAAATGGGGGGCTAAAATGAGGTTCGAAAAGGTCACATGTTGAACTCGGCTATCTCCGATCAAAACTGCAAATGGGAGTAGGCACAACAGCGATTGTTGACCAGTGTTAATTTGAAGCTGATGGTCTTGATCAGTTTTTTTTATCTGCAGTATTGTATGTATGCAACAAAACCATTCATATCTGAATTTTTGTGTCTACTTAATTCTATAAAGTTGTGCTTTGTACTGTACAGGATGCACACGAACTTTTCCATGTGCTGACTCAATCACTAGATGAGGAAACTGCCAAGTACCCCAGAATTGTCTCCCTTTTTGATGTGGGGTTATTGGAGGCAAGTATTATACTCTATAACACAGTTCAGCTTAAGCATTGCAGATAAATATTATGATAATAGTGTGTACTCTGGATGTTAGAGAAGAAAACAGAAATGGCAAACAAGTTGCTGGCAAAGAAACTAGTTCATAATTCTATCATGCTTAAAAAGCAACTTTCGAGGATATTTAAGTTTCAGAATGAAATATGTGATAGTAATGTGATTCCTGGTTTTTTTTTTGTGATATTTTTTTTACCCTTTTTTCTTTCTTTTTTTTTTCACCTGCTTCTGCTTTGAAGAATAAGTCCCTGAGGTACCAGTCTGAAGAAAAGGCCATCACTCGCAGTAAGGGATTGTTACCAGTGCTACCTAACAGAGAAAATGATCACCCCTTCAGGGGCCTCCTAGCTAGCCAACTTCATTGTAATGAGTGTGGCTACAGAAACCCGGTTCGTTATGACCTCTTTGACAGTCTCTCACTCAGTATACCAGCCAGTGTTTGGGTGAGTAGCAGCGATATTAGGTATTAGAATATTAAAAGCATGTGCTTTAGTGTTTGGATATTTACACATATCTAATATTTCCTTTTTAATGTTTGCCTCAACATCAGAATCCATCAAACATAAACAGTTATAACAGTTATCAATAGATAATAATAGCTCTATTTCATTTATGTAATGAGGTCTGTAGCAGAGTTAGGTTACATTGGTTATTGTAAGTTTACATGTACAGTGTAAGGTACAAAATAAAATCCACTGTAAGTTGTAGTTTGTACCAACTCGATTCATGTAATATTACTTATAAATAAGTTCTAGTCAAGTAGTGTAGATCTTCCTCACTGAGTATGTTGCTTGTTGCAGGGATCAAAGAGTCTTGAGGCCCTCCTTCAGCATTACATTAGTGCAGAAACAGTGGAGAATGTTGAATGCCCTGGCTGTGCAAAGATAAAGAACGCTGCTGCTCACAGCAATATCCCACCACCACGGTCTACCTTTTGTAAGAAACTTACCATTGGAAAGGTCAGTTGAAGATTTATTTTCATAGATATCTGTGATATCCCTCTGTTTCTCATTCATTTAGGATACAGTTTATCAAAAATTGACTTAAAAGCTATAAATTTTCTTCTAACTTTGTTTATCAATCTTTAATATTAGTGAATTGAAATACTTCAGTAGAATGTTTCTTAGTTTTTGTATCAACAATGAGGTCAACTGTGCAGGCTTGAAGTAAACATCAGTGCAAGCCTTTAGATTTAGAGTTAGTTTGTAAGTGCAAACTTCTGCATAGATGTTTTACTTGCTCTACATTTGTATCAGTTTAGCAAATAACATTAAGCTGGATATTTAAACTTACATAATAATATTTGCATTGTATATTCTCTTAGATGCAGCTTACTAATGTGTACAATTATCAATACTTACACATCATGGTTAATCTTTCACAAAGATTGTAAAGCTTAAAATCTTCTCAACAGGAATTATACCAGATGTACATGTGTAATGTTTATTTACTTTGTCCCGAAAATTTATGTAAATGTGGTTTAAAGGTGATGAGACATATAAGACACATGTAAGGTAACATGATGTATGTATTTACAAATACATGACGTGAATCAAAACATCATTTTTATCATTTGCTCATGGAACTGCTTTGTTGTCGTGGCATCATCAGTGATATCAATTAGCACCACCTGCTTCCTATGACATGATATGACATATTTTTCTAAATGTTTTGGGAAAATTTGTGGTTATTGAATGTGAACTGTTACTCAGTTTCTGAATCAAAGTATGTTTGCTTTGATGTCACTACATATTTAGCTTGGTTGGCATCTTAGCTATGTAAATATACTTTGATGCTGCTATAAAAAATATGAAACAGTCTTGAATAAAGATGTTAGAAAATGATAATATAAAAAAATAATATCTCTATAATTTGTGATGAAGATGTAAAAAAAATGTAAGTTAATTTCCTACATCTGTTTTTTCCAGCTACCACAGTGCATGTGTATCCATATTCAGAGAACTCAGTGGCTTGATAATGGGTTACCCATCAAAAGGTATGAACACATTTCTTTCCCTGAGATTCTACAGATGGACAACTATGTCTACAACAAAGTCGGAAAACAGCAAGATCTAAAGGCAAGAAATGGACTTCTAGGGGGAAAAAATCACCTACTCTTCAAGTAAGACATTCTTTTACATCTGTTATCAGTTTGAAAATTTATTTTATATCATAGTCATTTTCTTTCTAAAGTCTTCAGAATTACTGAAATAATTATAGAATCAGTGGAATTAGGAGAAAGGATAGTGAAATGTGATTGCACAATTTTATAGAAAAAAAAACTTTGCGAAATGTAGATATCAGTAGGTACTAGTGGATAAAAAACAGTTCAGAATAATGTTTCTTAACTGAAGTATTAAAAACAACTTTTGTTTGTTTGTTTCGGGTGGGTTTTTTAAGGTTAAAAGCAATTAAGCTGAATTGTCACCCTTAACTTCAGACTTGCAAATCTAGAAATTGTCTTTCTTGGATTTTCTCTTATTATTGTAGTCCTAGTTTTCCTTGTTGATATCTGGGGTGATTAACATTGTCTGTTGTTTCTTTTGTCAGAAACGTAAGCAACACAACAGATAATAGATCGTCAGGTCCAGTGAACCTTCTTCGGGCTTTGAACTACGACTCAAACATCACAAGGAATGGAATATTTCTACAGCCACCTGTCAACTGCCAAGTACCCAATATCCATTCAGACGTGAATCATAATGGACCGAATATATCAAAGTATGCTTCATCTGAATTTACATATAAACTCTCTGCAGTAGTTGTTCATCTTGGGGACATCATGTCTGGACATTTTGTGACATATAGACGGAGTCCTATGACAGTGAAAGGAGAAAGAAAAATGGATCGTTGGATCTGTTGTTCAGATACAACAGTGACTCGTGCTGAGCTGGATGATGTGCTCTCTTCAGAGGCATATATGCTTTTCTATGAAAGAATGTGATTGTTAATGTGTGTGAGGTCAGTTTGATCTAGACTTAATTCTCTTGACTTTTACTTTTAAAACCAAGTGTTTCTTTGAACTCAGGTGTTATGTGGTACCTAGTCAATTACTTACAATATATGATATCTTTCTAAAGAACAAAGGATATTAAAGAACAGACACATTTATACAGTATTTGCATGAAGATAGCAGTTACTGATCCTTACAAATAATTCTCACAAATACTCGCCCTTCCTGTAGATACTGAGATAGATAAGCTTTTCCACTCAGGCTCTTGTATGTATTTACTAAAATACTAACCCCCACACATCCATATTCCACTAATAGTCTAATATGAATAATACAATCCCCCACCCCATCCTTCCTCACAATCTGACCTTCATATGCCACTAATTGAAATAGATGTTGACCCAACTTCCTCATTAATCTTCTATATTCTACTAATATAGATACCCCCCTCCCCCCTTCCTACCCCACCTCATCCCATTCTTCCACCTCCACCTCCACATTCCAGGTATGTAAATAACCTCAAACCTGTATTTTCCACTAACACAAATAACACCCCACCCTCTTATAGTTACGGTATATTCTAAATTAACCAATTTATTCCAAACCTATCCTACCCTTTAGCCCCTCCTTACTTCTTTATTCTACTAACACACCCATGTGTTGAGCAATACTGCCACCACACTAAGATCTCAATTGTAGGGCAGTTTGACTATATTTTGCATTCCTGCTTTGGTAAGATTTCATATTGAATTTCATTTCTGTAAAGCAGGAACATAGGCTAATGCATGTTTTATCAACATTTATTATTAGTTTGAAAATAATTCAATGCAGCATAAACATTTGCAATTTTACAGTGATTCATCAATGAATGTGTGATATTTAATCTTGGTAAGATTTTTCAAACTCATATTTTTACTTGATGGGGATGGTTTCCATAGCGACATGTATATGAGTTTGTTATTCACTTGTAAGAGTGTTATTGGACATGTAATTGTATGGGAATTATTCCTGTGTTGCAAGTGTTTATAAAGTCTGTTCCAATAATGTCATTTTTCCTTTTGTAACACAACACTTGAAAGTTTTTGATACTCTGATAGGTCTTTTTATCTTAAAAATCACCATGTAGAAGTTTAATTCTTTTTTATTTTCTTGCTTGGTGTCCTTTGATAATTATGATGATGATACAACAATGACACTTCTGTCTGTTGTGATAACATTACCAATTAGTAATGATAATTTAGTGAGAAGGTATTGTTCATGATGAGTGACCCTTAATCATAATGTATCAGATCATATAATTGAATTTGTTTGAAGGATTAATGATATGTACTTCAGCTTAGCTTTATAACCCTGTTCTTAACTCATTAATGAATACTGTTTGCAGAATAAAATTGTGTTTGATATCAGTTTTATACTTGATGAAAAACTGTAAAAGGCTGTTTATTCATACTAGCATTTAGAAATTTGCCACACTTTTTGTAATTATTAATATAGATTTAAGTTAGCACAATATGCAGGTGAGGACCCCACGGTACAGTGAAAATAGCACCACAAAAATGCTGCCTAAGTTATGCCTTTGGGATGGTCTTTGCAGGAGTATTATTTATCACAAATGTTTTCCCACTTATAATACAAATATGTAAGATTGTAAAATGGAAATTGAACTCCTCATGCAGTTTTGTATCAGTGTAATATAAACTCTGTGGCAAAAATCAGAAGTGTCTTCATGTCTGGTGAAGAAGTACATGGAGCTCAAATTCTGAGCCAATATAAAAGACCGCTCTGTGATAATTTTGCTGAATAAGTAAGTGCGATGTGATGGAAATAATGTAATTGTTTGTAATAGCACTTTCAAAGTAACGTTTTTGAAAAACGCAACTGCATCCTGTTAATACCACTTTGTCTGTTTATGATGAAAATACCAGGTATCTCCATTACAAGCTGTGTAATTTGAAAATCATGATAAATCTACAATGAAGTATTCAAATGAGCGAATAACAGGTGACCTTTGACCTGGTACAGAATGTTGCCTCTAGGATAGTTTGGTCCCATGGTAACAATCACAATACTGGATGACAGGTATTTGTGTCTCTTTCAAACCTTTATATGTCTCCTCTATATCTAGATATCATGAGATATTGGCTAGCTGGCAAATCTTTGAGGTCTTTTTCATTATTTAACAGAGCTTTAAGATCTCATTTATTTAAAGCTTGAGGTCTTTTACTACATATAATGATGATGATTCTATAATTCATTATCATAAAACCAGAAATTTAAAGTTATCAAGATACAAAATGCTTCAATATGTCATTTGAATTTTAAACTTCAATATTATGAAAACTTAAATATTGGATTTTTTTTATACAGTTTACAGCAGACTCAGAGCATGTAGATCTTTATCATGATAAGAATTAATTTATTTGGTGCTTTTGTATGTTCACGTTTGTCATCAGATTATTTCATGTTTAAAACTTCATCATCCATCTGTATTGTTTCAAGAACTCAGCAGTCCCAAAGTAAATGATTTTCTAATAAACATGATGTGATGTAGATGATAAGAGTGATTAGCAGTTAGAGACTGTTACAGATTATTGACAGATCTATGAAGAGTCCATGAAGCCGGTTTTTGCTCATTTATATTACTCCACCATCCATGTGGTGAGAGTGAGCAAGATTGTGTAAGTTTGGTTGTTGAGTGAGGACATAAGATAGTACTTTAATGGCTGAGAATTCGATCAGAATTCTGTTTGGAGTAAGGTTCCGATCTTCATTTTTTTTCATTTCAAAAAACATAAACAATCTTTGTAATTATATGGGATCAGTTACTTCTGCTGATTGTTGTCGCACAAAAATAATGCAATATTTGTATCTCTTAATATTTTATGGAATAATTCCCTTCTTTTAATCCAGTACCTTTCATTTAGATTTATAAAATTCTGGCATGTAAGAATTTATCGTAAATTATTAGAACATACAAACTTTCAAAGGAAAGTTACATACATTACCATTATAGCATGGACTAGAGAGACATGGCTATGTCTAAGTACATACATTTATACATACAACCATTTTTGTATCGGTCGAGAGTTGTGAGAATTTGTAAGAGTATTTGATACTTGGGTGTGACTGTAAATTATGATGCTTGTGTACATTTTCCATTAAATTGTTTTACTCCTTGAAATAAAAGCTTTATTGAAAATATTAAAGTTTTGGTTTTCTCCTTGTTTGTAATTGGATGAGTTGAGTTACTGTGTTCTCTACTTATAGTTTTCTAGTTATAAAAAAAATGAAAGTAAATATATCTCAATTACAGTTAAAAATATATCAAAAAAATTTAATCAACAGTGATATGATAAACATTTAAAACAGTAAAGATAATCCCAACATGTCAACATAATCTTACTTTAACTCACATTCGATGAAACTAGAAGACATCAACAAAAGAAAAAGATACATGAGACTCGTGAAAAGGTGCAATATGATAAAACCAGGTACTCCGAAAGGGAAAGCGTTTTCTGCTTCATTGAAGACACTCGCCATGTAAATCTTGGACGTTCCAAGTAAGTAATGTCATGTTCCTGAATAAAAAAGATAAACAAGGAAACCAGCAGACTCCCTAACGAGCACCAATCAGTTCAACTTTATCTCGCGCAAGAAATGGAATATAAGTTTATAAGAAATTACGTTCTGTGATGGAAGCTTGACTTTTACGGAATGCGACATTTTATCGCAAATTCGTATTAAAGCCAGACATAACTTTACATATATCTATCTGTAAACTAAGTCCTTAAATTAACACATGAGCGTTCATATTCACAACAAACATCACCAGTCGACTTAAACAAAAACTAACTTTGGGGTCCCACGCAATGGAATATTTACTCCGTCCACTATCGGCACATAGATCTATTTTCAGTGCTTCTTATTTTTGGAAGAGAAGATTGGCCTTTTATGGAATTTGCTTGATGGACCTCTTGGTAACACTGTGTACCGAAGTTGCTCACTCCTGTTCCTGAGATCGGTATGGCGAATGCTTTCAGGATGATATATTTTGAAGGAATTATCGAATTTTGATGAAAGTCTGCAATGAATATGTTTGCCTGGCTTTATAAATTCTTCGCTCAAATTCGATGCTTAACCTAATTTGGGAATATTTAATTAACCTGCTGCGATCTATGAATAATTCAAGAACAACTTTATTGTATTTGATACCTTCACCATAGGCACTAGACTCGCCTGTCGATACACCTAATGCTTCGTCGTTCTACATATACTGCCCTAGTAAAACGACTGCATGTGATTTAGACCATTCTCACCGAAATGTCATCAACGGTTTTGTCATATATGTAGCAATGTTTTCGCCTTGTTGCATTGACAGTGATGAATCGACAGCCAGGATTGCTTGTAAACATTAGTAACTGTGGTTGTTTCATTAATATTCATTTCTTGTGAAGTTCACCTCTCTCTCCAACTTATCCTGGTATGAAGGTATTGATATATAATATCTTTGGGAATAAGTTTGGATTTTTTGAGAGTACTTAAATAAGGTAAAACAATAAGTCCATTAAATGTGTAGGATTTCAGAACAAGATGTATTTTCTCTATTTGATACAAATGCACGACGTGAATTGCTAAAGGGAATATCTACATTTTTCATTCCATTTCCAAGAAATCTAAATATCGGAGAATTTTTCATCTAATAAAAGTTATATTTTGAATCGCTCAGATATATTACCATCCTACCGAAGACTGCCAACTGTCATAATAAATTTCACATGGTAAATTTTAACCAATTTAGAAATGAATGGTTTTATAAGTATTCTAACCGTTGTTGTTAGAAAATTTTATTAGAAAGGACCTCTTTCTAAATTTGGTTAGTAAAAATCATAAAATACACAGCCTATGATCTCTAAAGATAGAACATATATACTTACCATCACAACTGAATGTGCGGGTGTCCTCAAGTCTAGAAAATGATATCAGGGTTCACCCTGAATGGCCCAGCAAAATCCACGTTTTTTTATTCAGGATTAAGAGTTGTTTATCTTTCCATATCAATAAAATCCCAACCTCTTATCAAAACGACAGTTTCAATCGTCCCACTCGACTGACGTGAGTGGGAAAGATTAAGATATTACCTGTTTCTATGTCGTTCAGTTAAGAGGTGACGTTTTTAGATAATCCATCTTACCTCGGAATCAGAGGTAGCGATTCAACAGTGACAAATACTGTGTGTAGTTGTACTACTGAAGAAACGATCGTTGGTTTGTTGTCAGACGTCGACAGTTAGGGGGACTGGTGTTGTCATATAAAATGTTAGAAATTAAGTAAAAAGAAATAAAAAAGATGAATAAACCATGTCACATTTATGTTTTTTTGATGATATGGTAAAATGACAGAAAAAAGACCTACATCAATTGCATCATCATAATGACAAAATCGAGTTCGGCGGGGATGAACATATAACAGGAAGCAGGCCGACCAAAAAACGAGAAGGGGATATTAAACCATGCAGCGATATGTGAAACAATAACGATGCTGTAGACCTTGTATCCCATAAACATTTCTGGAACTCAACATCATGGCTTGTGTCCAACAGGATAACTCGCACAGACCATCAAGTAACGAAGACAGTGAATGAAGGAGACATTTAAATATAATATTCTAAAAGAAACTGAAGTCTGATAACGAACGCATCTCCACTGTCGAGTTTATCCTCCCCGACAGGAAAGCCATGATCAGTATCGTGATGATCGATGAAAATAGTATTCAGATAATATGACAATTAGAACGTGGATATATACACACTCTATTAATGTTCCAGTGTTACTACTTAAGAAAAAATGTCATACCGTACTAGGTACATATCTTCGGTCCAGAGAAAGATTAGAATATTTATCAATATAACAGTAAATTCATATACTAAATAATTCTATCTTCCTACAATCCTTACGGGTATGCCTACCGGGATGTACACTTGATAAATAATCTGTGGAGATTTTCGTTTCTATTTTATCGAGAACAAATTGCATGCTTGTAAATTTGTTCTGGAAATAACTTTCATTCAAGAAAAGAATATAATAGAGTAAAGGAGCGTTCTATTAACTGTCACTTTTTACAACATGTCTCAAGAAAATCACGAGATATGTCGTTTAGGATTGCTGGGCTCTTGGTACTTACAGAGTTATAGATTTTCTGTTAAAATATTCTAATCAATATACCAGAATTGTTATAGACCAAATACGTTTCACAGATTAGACCAAACAAGTCCCATCGATTAGACCAAACAAGTCTCACATATTAGACCAATTAGACTAAATCAGTCTCATCGATTAGGCCAAATGAGTCTCAACGATAAGGCCAAAATGAGTCTCATCGATTAGACCAAACAAGTCTCATCGATTAGACCAATTAGACTAAATCAGTCTCATCGATTAGGGCAAATGAGTCTCATCGATTAGATCAAAGAAGTCTCATCGATTAGATCAAAGAAGTCTCATCGATTAGACCAAACAAGTCTCATCGATTAGACCAATTAGACTAAATCAGTATCATCGATTAGGGCAAATGAGTCTCAACGATTAGATCAAAGAAGTCTCATCGATTAGACCAAATGAATCTCATCGATTAGACTAAATTAGTCACATCGATTAGACCAAATAAATCTCATCGATTAGACCAAATAAATCTCATCGATTAGACCAAAGAAGTCTCATCGATTAGACCAAATGAATCTCATCGATTAGACTAAATTAGTCACATCGATTAGACTAAATTAGTCACATCGATTAGACCAAATAAATCTCATCGATTAGAACAAATGAGTTTCATCGATTAGACCAATTAGACTAAATCAGTCTCATCGATTAGACCAAAGAAGTCACATCGATTAGACCAAAGAAGTCACATCGATTAGACTAAATTAGTCACATCGATTAGACCAAATAAATCTCATCTATTAGACCAAGGAAGTCCTATCGATATCGATAGCAAGGCATATTTGTTTGCGTTTTCCAGTTGTAAATAAGCAATGGTAGTAGGCAGCGCCAAAAGTTTCAACTGGTACCGCTTCAGGACGAAACAGTTTCACAACATGTTCTGTTTATAAAGATATATACGGCATGTATCCTCTATTTAGCCTTACCAACAAAATTTGAGTCTGACAACATTTCCCACCAAAATGAAAGCAACTATTTTGTTATTCCATCATTTGTCAGAGTGTCTGTCAGTGCGTATAATGCCCCATGGAATATTTAATGAAAGTAGAATGTGATTTGTAGTGAAAAAAATTCTTTGTTTTGACGAAAACAAGCGATTATATTGGAGTGGTTTTCGCATTTGGGAAATATTCTTTCTTCTTATCAGGCTGAACTTACTTGAACCCTTGTTTTCTATTATTGTGTATCCTGTTTTCATTTGGGTAAGAATTTACTTGGAGCGTGTCGTCAATGAAAAAAGACACAATTCTTCTTGAACATATCTTGTTGGTCTCACTTTTCAGGAGTATCCGCATTTATGCTCAGATTTTGCAAAAGACAATGCTGCACCATAAACCGGATGTTTTCCATGATAAATACGGTAAAAGCATCATCAGAATGCGCCTCCATCTCAAAATTAAAACCGGCTGAGTTATGACTTCGGAAACACAAATTGATTTGCTGTCAGTAATTAAGAAAAGACGCAATTAACATTCATTTCGTTAATCTGCATTTTTATATTGAATTGCATGTAATATATTGTGCACGTGGGGGAAATTGATAATGCGGCATTGCTTTTATTCCGAGTTTTAAAAATTTGCATTCATTTTTTTTCAATGAATGACAAAACTGTTTATGATTCAAACTGATAGAAGATGCTTGTGGCAAGAAGCAGCATAACTTCTTTCTTAATTTACTGATTGTCTTTGACCTTTATGCACAGGAAGTAGTGGGACTTTGTCACTCTACACATGGCTAGTGTCGCGGTACGTATATAGGTCTCTTAACACGTCATGAGTAGGAGGGGCCATTCAGAAATGTGATCCTTTTTCGATATATATAGTAAACAGAGTACGACAGTACTATATAAATAGAGCTGTGTACACATGGAACCTATGTTCTATCTAAATCTCCATAAACAATTGCCTTTAGAACAAGTAATCCCGATGATAAACTTGACTAAATATAGGTAAGACCAATAAATCTGGAAATGAGATAAAAT